TTCTTACATTTTCACACAATTATCTGTACTTTCTACTCACTACATTTTTAAAAAAGACAAGAAGTAGAAATTCGCTACTTTAATTAATTTTTGCGTGTTTTCGTTCCAGCTTATTATATAAAAATAAAGACTATCCAAATAAACTGTGCCTCATATAGTGAATTTAATTGTGAATGAGAAGTATAAATATATACAACTCTGATAGCGTATTAGTTTGTACACAAACAAATCATGTCACACTCCAGCAGGACATAATCATTAAAATAAAAGGACTGTACTTAAGAAGTATTTGTATTTCATGAAATATACTGTTGTATTTGGCTGCAGCCCTCGGATAGATTTTGTGGAAGCCTTGATATATGTATATAAACTGAAACAGCTGGACTAGTGCATCCTACATTTAACATACATTAATTGTTTTAATACAATATAGTAATTTCTGCTTTTTTTTTGGAAGGTCACCTAATAAATGACATTACAGAAAATCCAACTGCTCATTTTACTTTTAATACTTAAGTACAAAAATATCAGATACTTTAATACTTTTACTCAAGTAATATTCCTAAAGGAGACTTTAACTTTTACCAAAGTAATTTTTGGTAAGATGCTTGAACTTTTACTCAAGTATCACTTTGTGGTACTTTATACAACACTTATTGTTTACATTTTTCCCCTTTATGCATCAATGTAAGTTAATACYATTTTAACACTATCAAGACTGACCAGTCCAAAACAACTGACAAARAGTACTGTCACCACTAAATGCTTTTTTCTTCCACTTTTTAGWGGCCATGATCATTGGAATAATAACCTTTTGAGAGCCTTTGTGTTGATAGTGACTTCAGCCAACCCAAAAGGTTAAAGCGTACTTCTGAGCAGAGTAAAATGGAAAAAAAATTCATGAAAACGTCTTTTTGCTGTTCCTCCACCTTTTTTATTTTATATAATACAATATTTATTGCATGAAACTTGATTGGTTTTAGCATTTTGTAGCTGTTTTTTTTAGCTATTTTAGTTCTAAGTAGGATAAACCATTTTTAAATTTTTAAATAGCATCACCTTTTAAGACATAATCTTGATTTCAGAGGTGAAAAGTGACACCTCTGATCTTTCATCTTCTTGTTTTGGTCACTTGGCCTCATATGTTCCCAGCTGGACATCACTGCATCAGTGGATTTGTCTCAAGCAAACAAGAGAGAGATCGTTCAGGTCATATCCAAAGACTTCATCCGTAATCTCAGGTGGGCCAACGTTTCCTGACTCTGATTTATTCAGTGACGTAAACCTACTTGATAAATGTCAGCTTTATTAGTGAGAGGATGCTGTAAGGATTATTGTATTTTATAGAGAAGTGTTTTCAGCACAGAGATGATGCTGCACTGAACCCCAATACTTGTCATCCTGCCAGGATCCCACAGAAAGGTCCTTTGAGAGAGTCCGTTCTCCTTCCAGCAGCTTCACTTGAGAGGATCACCTCAAGGTCCAGATTTATCAACGAGGACAGAGAAGCCTTGAAACAGGCGTGTCAGAAAGACAAGGAGGAAAAGGAAGTAGGTGTCGCAGAAACAGAAATTAATTTTACAACTTCCTATTTTTTTTTTAATCGATCAACTCCTGGTGCAGAAAGCAGCAGAGGCCAGGAAGCGTCAAATCCAGGAGGCGGATCAGTTCCGTTTAAAGAACCAGGCGCTGACCGACCTGGAGCTGGAGGCCCGTGGTCGCGCACAGCGCCTGGTGGAACGGGCCGACGCTTTTAAGATGGAGCAAGAGGAGGAAATCAAAATGCTCAACCAGGTGGGAGCAAACTGGAGATATATTCACATTTATCCAACAGTTCCTGAAATATTTTACTAACAGGGTTGATTTCCACAATTTGTGATGAATTTTAAAAAGCAAAGATCTTGAGCGGAGTGAAGCTTTTAGTGTGTTTGATGCTCAGCGATGCACCACTCCAAACTTTAACAAAGCATCTGCAAAACTGGTTCAGTTTGTTTGCTACATGTAATTAGCTTGTGGCAGCCATCTTGAATCAGGCTGATTCCAGAAGTTAAGCAGTTCAGAACAGGGTTCCCACGGGTCCTTGAAATCCTTTAAAGTTTGTGAATTTGAAAAAATGATTTCAAGGCCCTGGAAAGTTTGTGAAAACAGCTAAAAATAACACTTGTCCATGAATGTGTTTTTGGGGATTGAAGTTCTCTATTCACATAACTGATTTTCGTCATCTGTAAAATAAAATAATAATAATAATAATAATAAAATAAATTTGTTGTTGTGGATAACAGGATTACGGTAAACTGACGTGGTTTTCAACAAATACCGTGAGCCATAGTCATAGTTGTATCCAGTCAGAGCAGAGGAGGGCGGGTCGTTCTGAGCCCAGGTGAGGGGTCTGGACATGTTCACATCCCCTCCTCCCAAACTGAGCTGCTGAACCTCCCAGGACATTATTACATGTCCATGTATTGTAGATATAAATGTAGGTTATACATTTAATCCAATTTTTTTCATTGATTCTGACTCAACAAGTTCTATGTTGTTCAGTTTTTCATTGAATTTACATGATATTAAAGCTGTTTATTGGTAACAATCTGCAGTAGCAGTAGGTAATTGTTGTCGTGCATGGTTCTTGAATTTGAGGAAATTGGTACTGGAAAGTCCTTGAAAGGTCCTTGAATTTGATGTTGACCAAGGTGTGGGAACCCTATCAGGAGTTATTCTGCAAAAAACATGATTAAAAAAAAGGGGGGTGGGTGGGTGGGTGGATAAACCAGACCATTGATACTTTTTGTGCCTCTCAGCTGATCCTGGGCGCTCAGTGTCAAGCCATCCGGGAAGTTCAGATCCAGGAGAAGCAGCAGATCCAGGAGGAGCTGGCTGAGGAGGAGAAGCGCCTCAACACCATGATGGAGGTGGAGCGCCGCAAGGCTTTGGAGAGGACCGAGAAGATTGACGAGCTGCGGAAACAGCAGAGTGTCCTGTAAACAAACAAACAAACAAACACACACACGATTCTTTTAACGGATAAACTCACTAAGACGCTGCTTGAACAATATGTATTTCAGAGGGAAGCAGCAGATTTARGATCAGATCCAAGAACATCTGGAGAACAAACTACTCTTAGATGAGATAAAAGAACAAGAGCAACAAAATATAAAGGAGGCCCTGGAGAGACAGAACCTGGAAGATCTGAAGGTGGTGTGACACACAGGCCTCACTCAAACCACTGAAGCACACTCGTCTCTTTCCTGTCTCAAAGCCTGGTGTTTTCAGGCCCTGGAGGAAAAAAAGATGAAGCAGCAGCTCCTGCAGGAACACATCATGCGCATCAATGCGCAGACGGTGCAGGCCAAAGAGAAGAAGCTGGAGGAGGAGAGGCTGGCTGACCTGAGAGATGCAGCGTATCAGCAAAAGATACTGGTCAGATTAACAGAAGTCAGTTTGTGAGAGATTTGCAACACAAAGCTTTTCACTTTTTTTTTTTTTTAAACGACAGGAACGACAAGCGGAGTACGAGGCAGAGCAGGCGCGCATCAAAAAGGAGAAGGAGCTGGAGATCGATCGACTGAGGGCTCAGCAGCAAAGAGCGAAAGACCACAGAGCGGAGCAGGTCAGGAACAAACATGGTTTTATCGCCACCACATTACAGATTGAAAAATCTGTCACATTTTTATCAAATGCGTTTTTTTGTTTGTTTTGTTTTTGTTTGGATCTGGCAGGACGAGATCCGGGCTCGCAGGAACCAGGCCGTTGCTGAGAGAAAATGGAGGATGAAGGKGAAGGAGCAGGCTGCGAAGAAGGTGCGTGACGACGCGGCGCTGAGGGCGGCGCGCCTGGAGCAAATCCAAAACAAAGAGCACTGCCTGGCCATGGAGGTGCACCGAGAGAGGGCCACGTTCGAGAGGGTGCAGAGGTAAGAGACGTCAGGCAAAAGGGATTACTTTTTTTTTTTTCCCCAATAATCTAAAAGCACAGCTTCACACAGGGTTCAACGAGAAGCAATGGCCAAAGAGAAGGAGCAGCAGGAGAGGCAGCATCAAAGAGCGTTACACAACTCAGAGACCATCCGCCGGCAGATAAAGGAGCGGGAGCTCTCAGCCGCCGCCGAGCGCAGACAATTCTTGGTGGAGGTCGACCGGCAGGCTGAAGAGGACCGGCAGAGACGCCTGCACCTTAAGGAGGTCCAAGAGAAGAAGCTGATGGAGCTGAGGTACGTACGAGCAAATAAGAGAAATAAAAGTTCTCGGTGCCGGCGTTACGATTAACCGGGCMGTTTGTGACTCTGCAGAGCAATGGGGATCTCTGAAAAATACTGCGCTGAAGTGGAACGGAAAGCCCAGAAGTTACTGCCGACTCACAAACCGACTCGGTCAGGGAAGTCTTCGCTCCTTTGAGACATTCATCAAGTGTCATTTAAAAGGAAAAAAATAAAATAAAATGTTTCAAGCAACACTTGTCTTACACTTTTACAAGCTTTTGATCACTGATAAACACATTTTTATTAGTGTTTTATGTCTTATATGCACACTGTAACTGCAAAAACAAACTGATAAGACTGACACATTGTTACATTATTTCCACACAGACACAGGAAAATGGAGACTATTTTTTTATTATTATTCTTTTTAACTTAGGATAGTATTTTCCTTTCAGTTTAGTCGTATTCTTCTGTGACAGATCAGCTTTCTCATTAATATGCTTAACAGAAAGGAGTTGAACCTATGGGGTTAGAATGACACTTTACACACACAGCTTAGAGCATGTAAGGAAGTTAGGAACATCAAGGTAAACAACAGGCTCTTATTCCAGACCAAACAGAGCTGGATGCTCATAACCATCGAAACAGGAGTGTTTTTGGCCTGTCTTCTTCTGCCTCCTTCTTTATTCTTGCTGCAAAGCATTAACAAGAGGAGCAAACAGGACAGGGGAGGGTAGGAGGTGGAGGGGTCTCCATCTAGACTTTTTTTTCCCCCTCCAGTTCCCTTTGTTCACATCTGTACACACGCCAAAAAACAAAAAAAGGTAACGGTGACCAAAAGAAACAGCACATCACCTGGCATACACGGACCTCATCGGGAGTAAATACACACGTACAAAAAAAAAAAAAAAAAAAAAAAAAAAAAAAAACAGCACGGTTTAGGACCCTGGGGTTTGATTGCCGTGGTTTTCATCCTCACATGTACACAGACAGTCTCACACACCCACTGTACACGGCACAGGAGGTCCTGTTAATACATGGAGCCAAAGAAGAAGTGCTAATATCTAGGAGGATGGAGTCAACAGAKCTGTACAGGCTGGGGAGGAGGGTTAAAACTCTTATTTAGACCTTTAGGTCAAACACACACACACACACACTCAGTCACACACCTGTGTGCATCTGAAACTCCAGAATGCTACACACCTGTGCAGAATATACTATCATTACTTAGTGTTACTAGCTAGAGCCACTGAAATGGCAATATATGTTCAATAATATAAGTATCCTCCTCTTTTTTTCCTCTTCAGAATATACATTAAATGAAATGCATTTTACAGACAAGACAATGGAGGTTGTTCAACTGTTCAGTCGGTCAGACGTAAAGAGCTAATTTCATGAGTGCAAAATCCAATGCTCCTCCACCTACTTCAAAAGGTTRGTTGAGCTTTAGCAAGTCCACTTCTGCGCAAAACAATAAAACATAAAAACAAAACAAACTAAACAACTAGTCATAAATATGGAATGTGAAAAAAAGTGGTCAAAATCTTTCAACAGTACAAATCAAAGTCCTTCTTCGCTGCCAAATAACTTATCTTGTAACAGGACAACATCAACAAAAAAATAATAATTTTAAAAAAAGTATTGAAAACTAGAGTGGGTTGCTGCTTGTTTGTGGTCCTTTTTGAGAGTAGAAGACCATGGGAAGCTGGTGAGGAACACAAACGAAGGACAGATGGAGGGAAGGAGCTCGTGTTGGGGAGGTTGGGGGTTCACATGCCGTAACCGAAGTTGGGCTGTGGCGGCTGGTTGTAGGCTGGTGCTGCCGTGTAGCCGTAGTTGTAGGCCGGCTGAGGAGGCACCGCCATGTTGGGCCCTGCTGTGAGCATGAGCTGGGGTGAGCCTGGAACGAAACAAACCCACAATCTGTTTATACAGAGAACAAAACAGAACAGGATTACTACAGACCAAAATCATCTGGTGTGGCTGGTTTACCGTAAACAATGGGTTGAGACTCCGTGGCCTGCTCCTCCTGTTTCCTCAGAGACTCAGAGGCTTCGAGTTTGTCCACCTGTAGGAAAACACGACAAGAGGGACCGCATCAGACTTTCTGCTGCTCTTTGGCAGGCTCCTGAAGAGCAAGGGCAGAGATGCCAGGTTTGCAAGAAACTGACCTCGGGCTTATTTCACTGGCTGACGGATGGGACCATTCCTGACAGGCGAAGATGAATACAGTCCAGATTTAAATAAAAAAAACAGGCTACAGGAGGCAGGCCTTGCTATAAAAATGTTGGATGCCCTTTGTGAGGCAAGACAACTTACTACAAGTCGAAAAACTACTACTACTCTAGTGAAGCTTGGATACAGTCTGATAAGACATCCACTTGTTTGTGGACAAATATTAGGAATTATAGGGAAGACAAAGGCAGTTAGCTACTGGGCAATAATGGTCCCACCATCCAGCCACCCAACACATCTAATCTAACATGTATGTAGAGAACCAACTCCTTCACCACCAAACAGGCTTAAAGGGTTACCATTTCCTCTTTTGGTCTCCTTTTTAAAAAATTWAAAAATGTCTTGTGTAAACAAATTACTCATGTTGACGCAAAACTAGATGCTTTTTTCTGGGCTGTAGGGAAAATTGTTTAGCGGCTTTTTATTGAACCACTTTACGAAATAAGAATAAACTTTTTACAGATTACCTACAATTAACTTAAAACAAATAGTTTAGTAATGTTAAAATATTAGACTACTTATTGCAAGTTAAAAAGTTTCAAGAGGCATGAATTCAGRCATCACACCATGTAAAGCATGTAAAAAAAAGCCTTTAGATCAGTGGTTACAAAAAGTGGGGGGCACAGTGGTACTGAATGAAACAAAATGAATGCTTGGACACTGCTAGCATAATGAACAGGTTTTGACTGGGCTCCCACATAAATGCAAAGAATTAAGGATTCAAATGTGTCTAATTTGTTCAACTTTTTTTCCTCATGAAATTTCCATGATTTWAAGCCATTTTGCAGAGAAAAGCATTTAAAAAAGATTTATTGATAGCAAGGTTGAATATTGTCACACAGTAAAAAAGTTACACTATAAAAGATAGTTTGTTATTCAAGAGGTTGCAGTTTAGTTTATTGCAACCTGTATTTCGTTTTAGTTTACCTTTATCAGTTAACTTGTAAAAAAAGTAAAAAAATAATAAATAAAAAATAAAGTAGAGGTTTGGAAACAAAATATCCGTGTCAGGTTGAAGACTATGAGTATGTGCCGGTGGTGGGAGCTCAGACATTTTCTACTGTGTTGAAGAATTTGCTTTACAGCTCAGAGGCAGACAACTGCAGGGAAAGGCCAGAAGACAGAGCTGGAATAATTCAGAGAATAGCAAAAAAAATAATAAAATAAAAAAGCTTCAGATATGACTCCCATGAGCCTTAGCCACGGCAGTGCAGCGCTGAAGAACCGGTCCTCAGAGTTCAGTTCTCTACATACAGTTTTATTAAAACTACTACGGTTGATCTGGTTAAGCAGGCTGTGCCAAGAGAAGACAGGCCATTTCATTTCAGAAGAGAAGGGTTCAAAGACATGCTGAAGCAGCAGTTTAGTCACGTTGTTCGTAAAAAGAGTGCACGAGAAAGAAAGACGAGAGGCAGAGCGCTACAGTGGGAGGAGTGTGAAAGGATGGTTCTGTTCAGCCAGTTCAAGAGTTTCCAAGAAGCAAGCACAGCCAACAACTCGTAGCCCGGTCTGAGTGCTGCTGATTCTACTGAGGGTGGGAGGCAGGGGGGGACGCATGCTCATCCTTCTACTAATGTGTTTAAATGTTTTGTCAGGGTCAAAAACAACAAAAATAAATAAAAGGAAAGAAAAACTCTATATTAGCCATTATAACCTCAAGCTGTCATCAAAGCAACATCATTTACTCAGACTGTAAAAGTACGCTCCTATCAAAAGCCTTTTATTTTTACTTCATGTATTTCTTTGATTTTTTTTTCCAGTTGAAGAACTTCTCTAGCACTGAAAGAAATAAAGCAGTAAGAAATGTAGAAACTCTTAGTGGAGCACCGTTATAATAAAAGCCGACTCCAAACACAAAGATTAGGTGTCAACACTTAGCTGCAGTCTAAGCCACCGCACCRGTCTTATATACAAATATTTAGGACCAATCAGGTGTGGGAAMAAACTTTGAGATTATTCTGAAGGAGATTAGGATGACGGTTAGCAGCAGACTGTGGCTGAGTGGTGTTAACGCGTCGGTTTAAACGTGACAACCCATCTGTGAGAAGAGGACCTGACAACGTATGAGGCTGCTACTCAGAGTGGCACTCTTCACCCTCAGATAAGGACAGCTGATGGGATGCTGTCCCACGGACACGTCCCTGTCAGAACAGCTGAGCCACACGAAGGAATAAAATGAGCCTGCAGGTAACCGCAGCTCTGTGAAGCTGGATTATTCTCACTGTTTGGRGTGTTTTGACTCAACAGTCTGATCTGTTTTTGTCTTTTCATGTTCTGAAGCAGGAACATCCGCGCAACCACAGACAGCAAACCAAACAGGGCCTTAAAAGACGGACGTGAGGAGCACCACTCTGGGGTCTCGTGGGCTGGTAGGTTGTCTGGTGGACGGTTGAAGTTCACAGTCAAAAGCAGGAAGGAGAGACGGGGGGTGGGAAGGTGGGACATGCAGTTTCAGCTACGTTTATCCTGCATTCTAAAAGCTACAGGACACAGGAGAGGGAGTCAAAAAGAATGATTAGAAAAGGATTGGACTTTCACCTTTTCCTTTATCGCATCAACCTGTAAAGGAAATTCAGAGAGGCAACTTAAAGAGGAAAAACAAACAAATGGGAGGCTCCCCAAACAGAACATGGCAGAGAAAAGAGCAGAGGACCAGTCATTTAAAAAAAAAAAAAAAAAAACAACCCTCAATGATGCAGGTAAACAATGCCACTTTTTATACAAATGCAGACATGAGATTTAAATTTAGTTTTATACACAAGTGTGGGAAAACTGGATCAAAACACCCAATTCCCAGGGGTTGTTCTGTGGGTGAAATCTGATTGGCTCCCTGAAGTGCCCCTGCCCTGTCACTCATCTGTCCTTTGCCTGAAAGCAACAATGGTGGATGCAGTTCCAAACACTGGTGGTGCTAATGAGTCAAAAGTCCAGCATGAATCAAGCTTACACAGGTCTTCTCTATTTAAGAAGATTTGAAGAATCCTGCAAAAAAGTCTTTTAACTGATAAATGACTGGATTTTCTCAAATGCTGTGTGTGTTTGTAAGTATTGTATCTATATACAGTAAAAATGCATGTAAATTTAGTATCTATATACAGTAAAAATGCATGTAAAATTGGTAAAGAGAATTTACTGTGCAGGCATATTTTAAATTTTATTACATCACAAGTGTTTTTTTTTTTTAGCCAGTCACACTTGTTCAGGTATTTGTGTGCAAGGATGTTAAACAAATACTTTGCCCCTCTAATCACTACCAACTTACACGATATAAAAATTGTGCAATTACTCAAAAAAAAAAAAAAAAAAAACAGAAGAGGTAATTGAGTACACACACATGGTGGTGCATTTGTGTGCAAGGATGTTAAACACATATTTTGCCCCTCTAATCACTACCAACTTACACGATATAAAAATTGTGCAATTACTCAAAAAAAAAAAAAAAAAAAAAACTTTAATGTGTAAATGAATCATTGGTTTAGCCTGTGACAAGGACAGCTTATAAAAACAGTAATGTTTGGCCCATAAAGCCAATAATATTTAATTCTTCACTCAGGTCTGCTTGCTTTTATAGCAGCAACAAAACATTTGTTATGTTTGCAGATGAAAACAATGAGCAACACAGCAGTTATGAATCTCTTTTTCTAGAACATTTGTATGGAAAAGTAGCTTAAATGAGTATAAACCAAAATAAAAACTAAAGACAGTGATGACAGAAGCAAAAAGGAAGAGGAGCAAGAATGAATGAGAACAATAAGAACTGAAGGATTTGCTCTTTGGAAATTGTAAACACTTTCCCTCTACACTGAATCAAGCTACTGATCCATGTCTGTGGTGCACATCTGTGTAAGAGTGAAACTGCAAACCTGAGACACGACAGTCTGGGGGGACAGGTTTGCAAAAAGTATTTTATAAATTATCCCAGATTTAGCAAAGAAACACCTACAGTTAATATTTTAGCTCTTCTTGTCCGTTTAGGTTCTCTTGATTCACTGCAGTTTTTATCTACAACAACAAAAAAAACTACCGTAAACCTTTTTCTCTATAAAACCCTGCAAAGCTTGGTCTCTTTGCATGGCACACAGCTCATACAGGCCAACCCACCTTTGTGAGATACTCCCTCATGACTTGGATGAAGTACGGCATAGAGAAGTCCATGATGTTGTGCCTCCAGGCGGTTTCCAGCACCACGTCTGGCCGCAGCAGGTCGTAGCAGGTGAAAAGGCAGGCGGCYAAACACTCCTTCTTGTCTTCGCTGAGGAACCAAGCCAAGAGCTCCTCAGCCAGCTCAATGTCTTTAGACTCTGATGCGTACTGCATGACATCCTGTAGGAGGACACCGTGACTTGGGTCAGGGAAAGCATTTCACATCACAGCACAGTTTCTTGGTATTTTAGGGTCACTGCACCTTGTAGAGCTTGTCCTTCTTGCAGAGCTCGACYCTTTGTTTCCAGCGGTTGTTCCCTTTGAAAAGGTAAGCTGCGATCCTCCTAAATTCAATCAGTTCGTGCTTCTCCAGGCTCTGGGCCAGCGAGATGTTGTCAAAGTTATCGTAAGCATCGATGGATGTCCGCAGTGCCTACATTGCAGGTATAAATACAAGTTAGAAAAAAAAAATAGTTAAAAAAAAACCCAATATGATTTAGTTTAATTTTTTTAAACTATTTATTATAATGTGTTGGAAGTAACAATATATAAAAAAGGCCAATAATTACACAAAAATAAAGAAATAAAKGCATGATACCGCATAGTCTTCCTCAGTAATGAAGAGGTTGTTAAGTGCTTCATTCACTCCTTTGTTGTTGTGATTCTGGACAGACCTCAGGTATGGTTTCACCAGAGGCAACTGTTTCATCTAAACAACCAGAATAAAAAACATGAACAGGCAGTTTCTATTTTAAGTCATCTTTGAAGCTCATTCACACGATGACAGTTTCACCAAACCTCCCATTTAAATAACTGTATGTGTTTAACAGAAAGCAATTATCCAGGACCTTGCTGAAGAAGTTCACAGCCCGTGTGTGGTCCAGTCTTGGAGAGAGGACAATGAGCAGGTCGTTCAGTAACAACGGTTTAAACTCCATGTAAAACTGGATGGCTTTGTAGTACAACTCCACATTTGCCACCTACAAAACAGATATTCAGTTTGTTACYCAAATAAATTTTACCTTGAAACAAAAGGGTCACTACTGTGCTTTAACACAAAAAAATGTAATCWGTGACCACATTTTTCTTTTCCTTTATTACCTTGGTGACAATGTCTTTGAACTGGCCTTCCTTCCAGGCGTCAGCTGGATGGTTCATCATAGTGATGATGGCGTTGTCGTACTCCTCATATTTYTCATAGAGGAACACTAACTCACCCCAAAGGTGGGCCTGCTCAGCTGCCCTGAGCACCTGAAACAGACATGAGAGCGTTTTACAAACCCACTTTGGTAKAACCATTACAACATAGGCAGGTACGTTCCTTCAAGTGGAATACGACCTTAAAAAGGTTTTCAGGAAACCTAGCTGCAGAGTCGATGATAAATTTCAGACCTACCTTTGGAATGTTGACACGGGACCAGAAGAGTTCCAGGTGTTCCCTCATCTTCTGGGGTTTGAACTTGGAGTAGAGGATGGCCAGCTCCGTGAACATGCCCATGTGAGCACGCTCCAGCCCCAGAGCKGCCTCCAGCATGGTGATCAGCTCTTCAAAGTAACCGCGGTCCTGCAGGACACACACAGGATGGACTTAATGACACAAACAAGAAGTGTTTTCCTACCACACTTGTATAGGAAAGAAGTATTTCATGTACCTGAGTTGCTTATAGGGCTGCAACAACGAATCGATAAAATAGATTATTAAAAGTGCTGGCAACGAATTTCATTATCGATTCGTTGTGTCGTACGATTTATGCTTCCCTCGCCATGTCGCGGAGCCATTTACGTCACCCGCAGAGCGTTGTCAATGCTGGCTGACCTAAATAAAGTTTAGGAAAATAAAAGCTCTACCTATAAAGACCCGCCCTCTCTGAGACCCTCGAGTGAACAGTACAGACTTCGAACTTTAAACCAGTTTTTAAATTGTGCTGTTAGGCCAAGTAGATCTGAAGATATGATAAAAAGTAGATGCCACATTTAATTTTTTTTAAATGACGGTCTGATTTGATGTGAGCTGCGTCGCAAGGAGGAAACACGTCCCGTGACGAAAAACAAAAAACCCTCAGTCCACCATTTGTTTCCTCCCCTCGGGACAGAAATATAAAACACCCGTCTTTTTTTCTGACCGAGGCTCAAAGTTATTTGATAAGCAGCAAAACGATTCAGGACGAAGGAAAAAAAAAAAAAAAGACGAGAGCAGAGCTCCGGGTCTGACTCAGTAGGGGAGGGATGGAGGGCTGCTTCAGAACCACTTACTGGGTCATAGAACACCGTTTTAGCCACAGACAGAACCAACAAGAAGGAAGCAAAACGTAAAGAATTAGAGAAAAATCATGAATTCTGATTATAATAACAAATTAATAATAGTTTTACATCTAAATATCCTATTTTATTCTTTTTATCCATTTTTCTCATTCAGCAACCTATTAAATTTCTGTTTTGTTATGTTTTATAGCTTTAACKAAGTTTATTAATGCATGAGAAATCCACATTTTTGGTTTTTTAAGTCAGTGTTTAATACATCTGGCCAAATCAATTGTGAAAATATTTATGATGTGCTTCTTTTTTTAATTTAGCATTTTATTTAAAACAATCCTTCATGTTATAAAAAGACCCTCTTGATTCAATAAAAAACTCTAGTTTTTAAGAAAATGGCTGCTTATAATTAATTGTTAGTCAATCTTTAAGCTAAATCAACTTCAGACATCTTCACATTAATCGATAACTTGCATCCCTAATTTACACAGTAATTAAATTAATTTACATCTACTTTTATTTATGTAATTAAGTGTTTTAATGATTTGGCTGATCAATTCATTTAAATCATAATTTTTACTGACCCACGTGATAGCATTGTTTTCCCAATTGAATACAAGTTCATTAACTGATCTTTTACATTTAAAGCAATTTAATTTTCTTRTAAAAATCTATTACTTTAGCTGCTCCACATACCTGGTAATAGTTGATTAGTTCCTCCAGTTCGTCAGCATGGACAACAATATGCAGACCACACATTTGGGCCAGACGGAACTCCTTCCCATCCACACAAGCGAAACACACCTAGAGGAGCAGATAGAAAGAAAATAAATATTATATAGCAGACATTACACTGAACATCATCCAACTGTGTGAAAACACCAGGTTTGTTTGTAAATAATCAAACAGATCAGTCACCTCTTTCCAGGTACGGGTGCTGTTGGCCTTGCGGGCTCCATCCACAGCAGCCTGGTATTCTCCCAGGTGCACCAATGTGGACGCAAGACGGCCAAAGTTGGACACGTTGTTATAAAGTAGTTTGGCCGCTTCGTACATCTTGTCATCGTAGCAACGATCACCCACCTAAAGGAAGTGAAAGCGAGATTAGCTTAGACGTTACAAACGAAGGACAACAGAGGATTGGCTGCTGTGTGAAAGACCTACTTGCTGGATGTGAGCATTATTGGGACCATTGATGAACTCCTCCAGCTCGGCCAGGCGGTTGGTTTTAGCCAGGGCGAAGATCAGCTCCGTCTCAACGTATGACTCACGAGCCTTTTTACGAGCCATCTGCAGGAACTTCACCAGGTCCTCCCAGTTTCCTGCAWAACAGAATGAAACAACTCCTCAGTTTCATGCAGACCCCATACTGAAGACCAGTCTTGGTCTAAGGACTTTACGATGGTCTCTGTCTCGTCTTAGACTCAACAGCATTCGTACTCGGTCTTGTTTCGGTCTCGTACATTGAGAACTCTGGATTTTATTTCTAGGCCAGCCAAGTTCAGCACTGTGGAAATATCACTATACTGTCAGATTATTGTCCAATTTATTTGTTAACATCCTTGTTTTCATTGGATGAAAAAAATARGGATTCAAATCCAAGTGTGACTCATTGCTATTTATGTATTGTTGTTACTGCTGTCACCCATCGCCGCCCACTTCCACTCAAACACTGCGCTCCAAGAAAGCGATCAGTGGTTGTCTGGGAGTGGGAGAAGATGTCTGTAAAATCTTCAGTAATACATTTCAGCTACATAAAACATAAAGAACACTGCAACCTGTAAATTCTGCAGTGCTTCACTTTAGAGATTGTGCGGACTACGTCAAATTTTTATTGTCATTTAGAAAGGAAGTACAAAGTAAGGTAAGCTATGTGTAAGTGATTTTAGCAAAGATAGCTAGCTTCATCAGCAATTTGTATCTGTACCAAAATTATTTACCTGGCTCTCACACACAGATTTAGTCAACATTAGTTCTACACATTAAGTTAGCTACCTGTGTACACTACTACACTGTGTGTTTAAGGAAACTAGTTTTATTTTTCCCTTTTCAGGTCTTGGTCTCAGTCTCGTAAACTCAGTGTTGCTCTCGACTTGGTCTTGGGTTAGATCAGGGGTCTGCAACCTGCGGCCCTGGGGCCACATGTGGCTCTTTGGTCCCTCTGCAGTGGCTCTTTGAAAACGTGACCAAACATTTCAGAATCATTTTGTTTGTTTTTATACTCACAACAGAAATCGATTTGTATGCAAATATGTGATCAATACTATTAATACAAAAAGTAAAGCATGTTCGCTCATGCTAGCTAGCCTGTTGATCATTTAAATAATCCGACTTCTTTCTATGATCTTTCTCTCAAATCCATCAAAATTACCTTAAGAATTTGAAGAACACATAATAAGAATTAGAAATAAAATACACCTGAATAGTTCAGTTGTGCTAGTTTAAATGAAACTGTGTATACACTATATACAGTATTTTTCTTGTTTACATGAATCTGGTCTTTTCATTTGTCCTGATGTGTCAAAATAATAAATAAAATTCACAATAGATTTTTTAGTTTTTTTTTTGTCACCTCCACTGGCCGTAAAGGTTCCCAAACAGGCCCCGAAAAGGCCCACGGACCAGTAGTTGATAATCACAGTTGTAGCTTGTTTTGCAGCTCTGGACACATTTTATCAGTGAGACGAGGAGCTCTTTTGGTTATAAAAAGGTTGCAGTCCCCTGGGTTAGGTGGTTATGACTACAATACTAATACCCCATCAATGGCAAAGATACCAAACATCATTAAACTGTTTGCAATGAATAAAGTAAAACAGCTCAAGGTCAAATGATAAACTGATAAAAAAAAAGCAGCTTACCACTTTGGGCTGCAGCTTGTCCCACCTCCATGTAAGCAGAGGGATCATCAGCCTTGATGTACGAGTCTATGGCCTCTTTGACCATCCCTTTCTGAAGCTGGGCCTTTGCCAGCTGACTCCACACCGGAGGCTCATTGCAGCGCTCAGCAAACTCATATGCTCTGTCCAAGTTACCAATGTGTTCAATCAGAACCTGAACACAGGAGAAAGAGAAAAAAAAATCATTATATTTGTGAAATATTTAAAACCAATAAATTGTAAAAACCATTATTAAAAAAAATCACCTGCACAGCAGAGGTGTTGACATCAAACTTTCTAAAAATAGCAAAGGCCTCTTCAAACAGCTCATTACTGATGGCGATGTTTGCGATATCGGGGGCATCATAGTTATCTAGACGGTTAATGTACTCCATAACGCGTGTTCGATCAGCTTTAATGGCTGTCAGGATGAGAAGATTCTGGAGGTTTCTGAAAGAACAGCAGGTTTTCAGTAAACATATGACTGTATTTAAATTCAGAGTTCACAAATACAAGGAATTTAATTAAAAGAAATAAACAATGCCTCACCTGTGCTCACTAAAGACAGAGTTATCCAACACAATCTTTTCCAGAAGCTCAATGAGTTCATTGGGAAGGTCAGCGGTCATGAAAGCCTTGACTGTAACAGAGACCTCCTCTGGATCCTGGGTCTCTGACAAAGCRGTTTGGACAACCTGCAGCAGAGAGACACCACACGTGACACAGTACACCTGATGCTCAAACATTTAAGGATTCAGAAGTTCTTTGTGCCCTAGTGTTTCTACTGAATGTACAGTGTGTTTCATTAGTTTTATTTTAATAATAAAAATAACTTATAAATAACTTGGCAGACTTTCAGACCTGATCAATGAGGGGTCTTCTGTAGTTGTTGGTCTCCAGCAGTACACTCGCCCACAGCTCAGGGTTCTTGCGACGCACGAGGTAGCGGGACAAACTCTTGAAGAGTGAATTTTCATTGCACACCTAAAGCAGGACAAACAAAAGAAGTAAAAACATTAGTAGTGCAATTAAAATCTTTTATATGAATATCCCATTACAACATGAGAATCTCAAACTTACATGAATGAGCTCCTGGTCACACTGTCCTCTTTCATACGCCACGCAGGCCAGGTGGGGGTCTCTCTTCTCACAATACTTGCCCACCACACGGCTGTCATAGTAAGGGTTCTCCCTTAAGAAGCGCTCAGGGTTGTTGTTGCTGTCGATGTAGATCTTGGCCAAAGCGTTGTGAGTCGCAGGCTCCTCGCATCCTTCATGAATGCGAGCCTCCAACCAGGGCAGCAACAACTTCAGTCTGAAGAGAAAACATTTTCACACACAGCACTGTGCAGAACTCTTCTCCAGCTTCAGTTCACATTCTTCTTTCTTACCGGTTTCTCTTCTCCACTTCAGCAACCAGTTCATCAGTGGAGAACTGTCCTCTCACCACCATGATCAGGTTCTTAATCACGTCCTCAGCACAGTCCACATCCAATAAACCTCCAATGACTACAGGCAAACGGCTTGGGTTCACCTGGAACAAAACACCATCAAAATGTAAGAGCTCGTTTCCAAAGCCCCTTCAGTACAACCTGAATGTAGCAGTGTACCTTCTGAACGTAGATCTCTATGTATTTTTGCAAGCTGTTGCGGTACAGGTACAGAACCAGGTCGTGGACAAAATCAAAGCGGTCACACACGATGATTAAAGGTAGCTGGTCAGTCAGCTTGGCCTCCTAATGAAGAGAAAAATGTTACAGGAAAAACACTCTGCGCTCGTTGAACTGATGCACAACTGAAAAAATAATATTCAGAGAGCTTTATTTCACAGGTAAGTCCTCTGTGCTACCTTCAGGAAGTTCTTGACACGTTCTGGGTCGTAGCAGTTACTTTCTCTGCAGATCCTCTCCACCTCTTTGATCTGGCCTGTTTTGCAGGCAGCCTGAATATATTTGAAGTGGACTTCTGGATCCTGGCTAAAGTTCACAATGGAGCCCAAGAAATAAAACAAACCTGAGAGAAAAAAATAATAATAAATCACTCAACACTGAATGTAAACAAATTTTGATAATGTCTATTTTTCAAGGGAATTTTCACACATTTGTAACTTACCCTCAAAGCTCTTGAATGACTCAAAAAGTTCYGTGAGGGATTGAGTTGAGAGCTGCTCGTGGTACTTGGAGGCAACCTGCACGCAGATCTGCAGGTTCTGACGGATGTTGGCTGACAACATGGCCCTCAGACACTCCAGAGAATCCTCCACTGAGAGGGAGCCGAAGAAATTCACCAACCACTGCGAAGAGACAACATGCAGCCACAGAATCCACTCAGGCACACCTTTTCTTTAAACGGAACAAATTCACAACTTTCTATCAAGTTTTTATGGGTTGTTAGTTTTCTTTATCTGGTTTGTACCTCTGGGTTTAAAAGGTGTGTGTGCACCACAGCACGCTTTATGTCATACAAGTCAGTATAATGCTCCAGTGCCCTCTGCAGGAGGCCAGCCTTCTCACACAGCTGGGCCACGTGGGCTCGATCATAGTGAGTGAACATCTGATTGCCAAGGATGGCATCTGCGACCTGTAAAACACCACAAAACAAATACGAACTGATAATCCCCTAAATAAAGCCTCGGTTAAAACCTAAATTACTTGCATTTCAGGACCATATTTACTGATGCGTGTTTGTACCTGGGGGGCATGAACCAAATTCATTTCCAGCAGACGAGTCTGCAGAGGTCCTTCCATGGGTCTATTGTTCTTCAGGGCATCTAACAGGAAGGACGTGCACTGCTGGATCAGYTTGTACTCCATGAAGACATCAACAATCTGGAGAAACAAACAAGTGGTATGTTTAATAGTATCCTTCAATATATTTATACTATTTAATGACAGCAGGGCTGAGGCCAACACTGCTGCTGCAGTTACACAAGTTCAGTTTGAACAGTTTTACCTGTGTAATATCAGCAAGTGGCTCTTCATCCTGAACCAGCATCTGGGAGAACTGGAGACCTTGCTCTGGACTGATCCGCATTACATTCCTTAGCAGAAAGATCCAGTCTGGAGTGTAGCCAACCTACAGGATTAACAGATCCTCAGCTCTTGCTACGATTTTATACACAAGTTATTAATACAAACAGTTAAAAAAAGAGGTTAAACCCACTTCTCCTGACAAGTTTATGTAAAATACTACGAACCACATACCTTCTTAGCATAAAGGACAATCTTCTGGAACTGTCCAGTCTCTGCGAAGCACTGAATGACTTTGTTGGGGACATTGGCTCTGAGATAGACACTGAGGGCAAGAGTGGGGTCTACAGACTTCACCAGGTCTCCAAGCTCCTCAGAGCACTCCAGCTGAAAAACACAAACATACAAAGTTGTTTTAGTAAACCAGCAAAACAGCTTGAAAGCTTTTTGAAAAGGCCATCCTCAAATGTGGGCGCTGAGTCTACATTTATCACACTCAGTTCTTGGACGGCCATTTACCTTGTCCTCCTTCAGCCATTTCTCTAGCAGCTGCTTGCGGCCCTGCTGGAGAACAGGCCTGCACAGCTCCAAAGACTCAAACTTATTAAGTTGGCCTTGATCCAGCAGGATGCCAAAGTACTGGAGCAAAGGAGATGTCTGGCCTGGTTGGGCTGGAACACTTTGGAACCTACGGATGGTGTCTGGAGTTCGCAGAATGCCCTAGAATTTAAAAAAATTAATAAATTTTAAAAAAAAAAGGCAGGACGTGTGAGAAATGTTTTAACTTTTTAAAAAGCAAAAATAGTTTATATCTAAAATGCTTTATATCAGGAGATTAAGTGAAATCTGCATTACAAGCACACTTAGTGTTTGCAAACCATCCAAGCCCTGGGAAAATTTATGAACTCACCACTCTTGAAGGATGTTCTTTCAATTGTTTAAAATACATACAAAACCACAGAAATGCCACAAAATGATTATTTTTCAAAATTCAACAGCGATAGACAATTGGAGCCAGACTGAAGAAGAGTACAGTTTGTCATAACATTAYGTTCAAGCCTCCGATAATTCAAGCTGTTGTCAAAGACAGGTTGTGTAACCAAGTACAAGAGGTGTGGTGTTTTTTCATGATTCCATAATTTTCTACTTGATCTAAAATAATTGACTGAAAACAAATATATTTCTCTCTTTGTTTTCTTTTTGTGGTTTGTCTAATTTATTTTTAACAACAGAAAGAACAAACTCCCAAAGAGTTGTATTTAATTTGAACAGTTTAGTCTGGAAGTCGTCTATTTGGGTGCATCATGGCACGCTGACAGTACCTTGGGCGCGTTGGCTGCAACTTTGGCAGCCTCTGAGTAATTTCCTGCTGCAAAGAGTGTGTTAAACTTGCGGGCGAACAGCTCCTCAGCACCAGCGAGGTTGTTGCGTACGGCCATGCGAAGAGCCAGGTCTGGGTTCTGGAGCACGTTGGTGATGTAGGGAATGATGTTCTCCTCCTCCACACATACTGACAACACCTAAAAGAAAAAAAAACTTTTTGCATGTTTCCTTTTCTGAACACAACAGTAGACACATTAAGAGGGAGATACAATTCTGAATTTATTAACATCACTGAATATTGTTTTTTATGCATTTCTTTTATCAGTCTACAAAAATAAAGTCAAAATTTACAGAATTATACAATTTATATTTCTTATAGCCCATCATTTCTCTTTTTATATTTAATTTCCTGAAATACATTTTAACTTCTAACTGAAGTACATCTTGAAAATGGCTACATTTAAAACAGTTCAATTTAAAAAAATGAGTTAAAAAACAAACATAAGAGAACAAAGCTGATATAATATAAAAGGTAATGTTCAGTAAATATCTAAAAAGGTGTCATGCTGCAGAGCATATTGTGTCATTTTTTTAAAGCAGATAAAAGGAGACTGAAATAACGAGCCTTAATCTGTGGTAAAATGTAGATTTTAAGTATTCCAATAAGGACAGGTTTTAAAATGTCACCTAAAACTATTTTTGGTGCAGATTCAACATTGGGATTTCCTTATTCAGCCAGGAATAGTGGCAGTGTTACTGTGTGCATGTGCAACAGCCTGAGCGGTGTTTGTAGGGCCTGCAGGTTAGAGCCATGAGGAATAACAGGATTAGATCATGTAGTCTGCCTGGCCAAGCTTAGGCTTCCCACTGTGGCTGTCACATGCTGCCCGATGCTGAAAACGCTGCAGCAGCCTGATATTTTCACACAGATTTCCTCTGTCAAGGTCACACCCAAGGACCCATGCTGATACAGAAAGAGGCTGACACCAGAGGGGACGTGAATCACCAACAAATGTCAGCCATTACAAACCTACAGGAAAAAAAAATCCAGTTTATGTATGGGCACTGATTCAGCAGCACAGACCTAACATTTTAACATACAGGGCATTTTTTTCTAACTTAACTAGGAAGCTTTGCAATTCTTGAATTCTTGTGTCAAACATTTCTAGCCTTCACAACTCATCTAACATCTTTAATCACACATATTTCAAATGTGTGATCCATGGACCACAGTCAAAGTGTAAAAAGCCCAGAGAAAAAGTATTTATAATAAACATGACTAACACAATGAAAATCATTAGGTGTTGATTGAATATGCAACTGCAGTTGGCAGTGAGCTGTGAGCACATAGAACATGGACCCAACAAGGCTTTACAAGCCAAAGCTAATTCCTGTCAATGTAAATATAAGACACTCTGTAAAATGTCCCAACATTGTCAGAAGCAGATTACTCCCTAGTATTTAATAACATGTCACATTTATTTTTTACTGTTCAGTTTTGTTTAATCTCAGGGGTCCTGCCAAAATTGGTCATTTTGTCAAAATGTACATTTTCTTTTAAAAACTCTTCAGTGTAAAACAGCACCTGTCCTTTCCTGTTAACTCCAATAATACCGGCGGTGGGTTCATGAGGTGCAGTGACAAAGATGGTCTCTCCACTGATCCTGTTCATGTAGATGCAAGTTCCAGTCTCCAGATCATACAGGTGGATGTAGCCATATTTGGTGATAAGAAATACTACATCTTGCTTGGAACTGATCTAGATGTGCAGAAATAAACATATAAACCTCATTATAAAAAGAAATAAAAAAACACTGAACTTGACAGACACAGGGTGGATGTGAGACACTGAAAGGAAATTCTTCAAGGTTTGTTAAAGTGGACGAAGAACATGCTATACAAATCAATATATAAACAAACTTTGTAGATTTTGTACCTGCATGGCAACAGGGAAGTCATTCTGGGCTTCTGGTGGGAAAAAAACATCCACAGCTTTTTTGGGAAATGGTTGGTTTCCAGTAGGTGGAGTTCCCACTTCAATAATATGAAGCTAGAAGAAGAAAAAAAAGGGGGACGAATGGAAGCAATTTTGGTTTCTGTGAAGCATCTTCTTTTCAAAGCAATAAATACAGATTCCATTTAAAGCCAAACTCTATATGCATTTTTTATTTCTTAAAAAAAAAAAAAAGGAGTCGAGATCTCTACAAGTTTGCTTTGCTAGTGAATCTTACTTTTCCTCCGGCCTGTCCCCGCACAGCGAAGCAGAACAGAGTTGACTCTTCAGTGTTGCCTTCCATCTTGAACTGTGCAAAACCAGCAGCATGACCCTCAATGGGCTGAGACACTTTCCTATCCACTGAGTACAGCTGCATGGCTCCAACAACACGGTTTTGCTTCAAGGGCAAAAAACAGAAATGGGGAGAATTTCTGTTTCAGGACATCATTGTACACATATCAATATAACATTCTGTTAATTTACCTGCGCTGAAATACCAATAAGCAGCAACCACTTCTGTTTGGCATCGGTTCGATAATTAATGATCTGGCAGCCTGCCAGACTGGAGTGACGATCAAAAACTTTGAGAGGCTGAGAGTCCCCCTCCATGCTCCAGTGGTAAACTGCATTGTCTGTGACTAGGGCAACGGTGTTGAGGGAGATCCATTTCCAGAAGGTCACATCATCCGTCATCGTGTGAGCCTTCATCTTGCTCTTCATCTCAATGTTAAAGATCTGCAGGGTCTTTGCAGCTGGAAACATTAGGAGCCAAGGTTAAAACAGCGGCAACCTAAATGTTGTGACTATCCTCCACCCTCCAAAACCAGCTAATAAAAAAATTAAAATAACTCCAAATATACTTCACCATATGTTGTGACTAAAGCCACAACACACTACTTACAGAAAACTTTGGGATTACCAAAGCAAAAAGCAAGGCCAACAAGAAGGCAATCATCAAAATGGATCTGCATTCACTCACATTAGATGCAACAAGCTCGTCATGTGAAGCTTATATTCAATTGCTCTAGTGAATTTAATGTTTTAAAACAGGATGAGGGGGGCGTTTAAAAAAAAAAAGCCCGAACAGTAATCTTTTTACCCCACAATGCCAAGCAGGGTGATAAAACAGCTAAAATCTGTGAGTACAGGCTGAGCGCTCTATAACCAATTCTGAAAAAGTTGGGACAACTTTGTGTAAAACTTCAAAACGAAGCAGAATCCAATTTGCAAATCTCAAACTCTTCGTTTACAATGAAACATCTCAAATATTTAAACTAAGGCAGCAACACATGTTAAAGTTAGAACAGAAGAAACAAAAGGTTTGTAAAAGTGGTGTGAACATGAAAATCAGAGGGAACATTTGACTATTAATTTGGCTAATTGTCAATAAATGGACTGGGCATAAAAAAGAGCATTTCAGAGTGGCTGAAACTCTTATGTTCACCAGTCTGTGAAAATCTGCATCTAAAAACTGAACAATTTTGTTAAAACACTGGAAAAACCTTGAATATCCCATCATTCAAAGTTTATAATATCAAATAGTTAAAAAAAAAAAAAAACAGGAGACAATTTTGTTTGCAAAAGACAAGGCTGAAAGTCAAGCCTGTAACCTTTGAGCTCTCAGGTAACACTACATTAAAAACAGGTCTGGTTCTGTTATGGACGTCACTGCATTGGTTCAGAAAGACTTCCACAAATCATTGTCTGTAAACACAGACCACTGCACCATCCACAAACCATGATAAAAGCTCAGTCATGCAGAGGAGAAGCCAGAAGTGAACACCATCCAGAAACACTGCCTCAATTTCTGAGACAAAGCTCGTTTAAAAAAAAAGGACTGAACCAAAGTGCAAAACTGTTCCGTTTCAGACAAATAAAAAAGTAAATTCTTTTTGAAAACCACTCATGCCATATCCTCTGAACTAAAGATTATTATTTTTACCTTTTTGAGGGAAAAAAAGCAGATAATATTTTTTTTCTGCTTCCTTTCATTTCATTTATAATGTGTGTTTTGTTTGTACGTAGGATTTTTACTTTTTGGTTTTAAATAATAGACCGTTGAGCCTGTTATCAGTGTACTATTCCAAAGTCTGCTTCTCTAATGGTATAGGGGAGCATTAGTGCTTAATGCATGGGAAGCTTACACATTTGGAAAGGTAATCAATGTCAAGAACATTTTATAAATCAAAAACTCAAAGACAAACCAGGTCTGTTGAACAGCTAAAATCATTCATCAAAGAACGAGACAACGTGCCCCTCCAAACAACACACCAACTTAGTTCCTAGAAGTTTACAGACCCCTAAAAGAAGGGAGCATGTTTCACTTGATAAAAACGGCGATGTTACTTCTTTAAGATGTGTTGCTGCTTCACTCAAATTCAAAATGACCAACTCTTTTCTAAAACAATGGAAGAATTTCACAAATTTAAACTTCTGAGGTTGACCATGTCCCATTGTGAATAAAATACAGGTTTAGGAGATTTGAACATCATTGCAGTCTGTTTGTGCCTGCATTTTTACACATGGTCTCAACTTTTTTTAAAATTTAGGTTGTAATTGGCACAGTTAATTCTAATTTTATTACTGATCATTTTACCATACATAGTGTTAATCTCAGGGAAGTGTGTGTGTGTGTGGGTG